CGCCATTGTACTGACTCACTATCAGTTGTGAATCAGAACAGGCGTCTATTTTCCTTGCCCCGGCCGCCTTACACATGCGGATCCCGGCTAGTAAAGCTTCATATTCTGCCTCATTGTTTGAAGCCTGGAAACTGAAGCGTAGAGCATACTCGAACCTGTCGCCCTCTGGAGATTGACATACGACGCCTGCTCCACAACCGTTTGAAGTAGAGCTTCCGTCCACATATACCTTCCAGACTTGGTCTGGAACTTGAGAGTCAGGAGGACGAGTCATCTCTACAATAAAGTCAGCAAAGGCTTGCCCCTTCACTGCTTTTCTAGGCTCGAAAGTAACTTCGAGACTCTGCATTTCTATGGCCCATTTGATCATTCGTCCGGAGGACTCCATGGTGGTAAGGGGCCGCTTGATCGGTTGGTCGGTATACACGACGACTGCATGTGCCAGAAAGTAGGGCTTCAATTTTTTAACAGCCATGAAGAGTGCAAGACCAAATTTCTCCACTAGGGGATACCTCAACTCGGCATTTTTCAGTACGTGACTGACAAAGTAGACCGGAAGTTGACAGCCGTCCCTTTCAGCAAGGAGCACCGCGCTTAACGCATGATCAGAGACGGCCAGGTACATGTAGAGATTTTCCTTGGGCAAAGGGCTGACCAGCCTTGGCAAGGAATGCAAGTGAACCTTTAATTTCTGGAAGGCGGCCTCAGCATCCGGCCCCCATTCAAACCTTGCCTTTTTCTTAATTGCCTGGAAAAAGTATAGGCATTTGTCGCCTGATCGGCTTAGAAATCTTCCCAAGGCCGCCAGACAACCTGTTAACTTCTGAACCTCTCGGACGGTACGAGGCGACTGCATGTCAATGACCGCCTGTACCTTCTCAGGGTTCGCCTCTATTCCTCTCTGGTTGATAAGGAATCCGAGAAATTTCCCAGACTCAACTCCAAATACACATTTCTTGGGATTGAGCATGACATGGTGCCGCCTGAGTGTGGCGAAAGTTTCTCGGAGGTCCGTCAGATGATCTTTCTGAAGTTTAGTCTTAACAATCATATCATCAATGTATGCCTCGACGTTTCTCCCAATCTGATCAAAGAACACTGTGTTTATCATTCGTTGGAATGTAGCCGGGGCATTCTTAAGACCAAACGGCATGACCGTATAACAGTATAATCCCTGATCAGTGACGAAGGCCGTCTTCTCCTGATCTTTCTTCCACAAAGGAATTTGATGAAAACCAGAATAGGCGTCCATAAAACTCATCAAGGCATGGCCGGCTGTTGAGTCGACCAGGTTATCAATTTTGGGCAGAGGGTAACTGTCTTTGGGGCACGCCTTGTTCAAGTCTGTGTAGTCTACACACATTCGCCAGGTGCCATTCGGCTTTTTAACAAGTACCACATTTGCAACCCAATCTGGGAAGTAACATTGCCGAATGAACCCTACATCAAGTAATTTTTTGACTTCGGCGGCGGCCGCCTGACCTCTTTCTTCACCATGGTTCCGCTTCTTTTGCCGTACCGGCTTCTTTTTCGGATCCACAGCGAGTTTGTGTACTGCCAGATCAGGACTAATGCCTGGCATTTCATGGACTTCAAATGCAAAGATGTCCTTGTATTCTTTCAACAGGTTGTGAAAGTCATCACCAAGGTTTCTCAGAGCAGTCGTCCCAACTTTGACTGTTCGGTCAGGACGGGAGTCGTCTAATATCAGGTCCGTATGCTCACCAGCCGGCTGAGGGCGGAACTCATCCGGCCGGTCCTCTGCCAATGATTGCTATTTTCTTGCCTTTCTGGCGGACTCTGTCTGGGACGCCTTTCTTTTTCTGTCGCCTGTTTCTTGAACAGGCGCACTTTCCTTGACATTGTCAAGGTCTGTTTTTTCTCCACTTGACCCAGTGGCCTTAGCAGTGGGTTTGACATCCGAGAGATAGCACTCTCGGGCCATCCTCTGATCTCCCCTTAGGGAGCCGACTGTTCCATTGTCCCTTTCAAACTTAAGCAGCATAAGTGACGGGATTATAACAGCCTTGGCACTATTCAGGGTTGGGCGACCCAGAATTATGTTGTAGGCAGAGAGTTCCTCTACAACTAGGAATCGGACTACCATGTGTCGTCCTTCCCCTTTTTCGCCCAGGCGGACGGGTAGATCAACTCGTCCCAGTGGGTGGACGACTCCTCCTCCAAACCCTATTAAAGGGTGGGAGGCCGGATGTATGCAGTCCGTCTGATATTTCAGTTTTGACAGACATTTGCTGCTGATGAGATCTGAAGAGCTCCCAGTATCTATGAGGATTCGACCAACTCTCTGGTTGGCCACTTTACATTCAATAACGAGAGGGTCGTCATGCGGCCCCCTTATTCCTCCTAGATCCTCTTCAGTGATGACAATCTCAGGAAATGTATATTTGGACGGTCGTTCTTGGTGAACGGAATTTACATCTAACCGCCTTATATTATCTTTGTTGCCCCTAATAGTGGGGCCGCCTCCTGAGAAGCCGCCTGCAATGGTGTAGACGACTGCATCATCTGTATCGGAACTGTCGGCCTGTTGATTCTTTTTGGCCGACTGCTTTTTTGAGGAAGTATTCCCCGTAGATTTCTTGACATAAGTGTCAAGATCACCTTGATCAGCCAAGCGGTCTAGGTACCGCATGAGACTAATGCAGTCGTTGGTGTGATGACCAATGTCATCATGATAAGCACAGATTTTGTCTTGGTTCCGGTTGCTCGCAGAACCCTTCATGGGGAGCGGTTTCTCAATTGAGAGCCGTCCCTTTATTTCTTTTAGGATAAACTGGTTATCCTTGTTAAACACATACTTTGGGGAGTATGGTTTGAATTCCTTTTTCTTCTTGGCCGGCTGTTTAGAGGAATCAGCCGCCCAGACCCCTTTTCTTTTTTCATCTTTGTTGGACGACTGTTTCTGTCGTCCTTCTCTATTGTCGAACCTCTTCCCGTCCGACTGTTTCATTGTACACAGATCAGTCGCCTGTATATAGGCTTCTGCTTCAATCAAGGCCTCTTGAAGAGTCGCCACCCTTTTTCGAACTAAATCAAATTTGAAGGTAGACCCGTCTTTGAGACCTCTAAAAAAGTCAGTATAAGCTACCTCATCCGGTAACCCTTGAATCTGTATTCTCATCAGGTTGAACCGCCTGATGTAGGAACGAAGCCCCTCCTTTTCACCCTGCTGAATTGTTCCCAAATCAAGAGTCGTTTTCTTCGCAGGGATGTTCATTGCAAAGTTGGAGGCAAATAAGTAAGCAAGCGTCCTGAAACTGTTTACACAACCAGTCGGCAGGTTGCCGAACCATTGCTGTGCAATTCCCTTGAGAGTTGCTGGGAAACACTTGCACCAAGTGGGATCATCCAACCCTTGAAGGTACATCAGGTTGGTGAATGCCATCAGATGGTCTTCCGGGTTAGTAGTGCCATCATAGGCGCCTACTAAAACATTTTTTACTTTGGCCGGCTGAGCGGCTTCAGTAATTTCCTTGGAGAAGGCCGACGGCTGTTCACCAAGTCTAAGCAGCCGTAGCTGCCAGTCCATAGGTTGGACGTTTTTTGCTGCAGGTCCACCAAATGGAGGTGGCTGCATAAAATATTGTTGTTGCGGCACAAATGGCAATTTTGGTACCGCCTGCGCACTATGAAAGCCAGACTGACGGGAGGTGCCGCCTGACTGACTCTCATGGTACGACTGAGTTGGCCTCATCGAGGCATTTCGCAAACTGTCCTGAAAATTTGAAGTAGAAGCCGACTCTGATAATCGGTCACTCTTCTTCTGCTCTAGCAGGTGCCGAGCATCTGTGAACGTTTGCTTTGACCCGTCCGCCTGAATATGACGAACCGGTTTCCTATTTCCCGTAGGATAACGGAGTTTTGTGAAATCAAGAGCAGACGGCTCCCGCTTCTTAGATTTAGGATGGGGAGTCGCCTCTCGCCCTTGAACTGGCTTCCTCTTCAGTGAAGTGGAAGGTTTTTTGGCCGCCTGCTCTTTGACTGAAGCAGGCGGTTTTTTGTTGATCAACTCTTGGATCTCTCCCTTGAATCCCCTCATGAAGGTCATGAGTTCGTTCCTTGTGATGGGAGCAGACCCATCAGTCGGCTGTTGCCGAGCAAGCGGTGCGCCTGCTGGCTCGCTTCCTGTTTGAAGATACTCCCGTTCCCTTATTTCAGTATGACGGGTACGGCGGGCCCTTAGGGTCCCGTCTGGAGCTGTATGAGTTTCAACTTCAAATTCACTTTCGGTATCATGGTCCGACTGAACTTGAGGGTCGTCTAGGGGACGCCTCTCTTCTGGGGTCGGTACAGACTTGGATGCCATCTCTGAAGTACTCTCCCCACAGACGGCGCCAAATGTTTTGGGGTTTTCTGATGTCCTGCGGGAGAGCTACAATTCCGAGACTGGAACCGGACGCCTGTACCTGCAAAATAACGGAGACTCCTGAGAGCTCCGCCTCCAACGGTCAAGTTAGTACCTGATTAAGGAGTAATTAACACAGAAATTAAAGTAATAAGGTCTCTCTAGGTGAGAGTATTTAATGTAGGTAATCTGCTTTGCTAGCGAGATCAGCCGGTTATTAGTGTGTTCCGTAATGTTTCTCCTCTGTTCTGTTAATTATTCGGTCCCTTGATTAATGAGGATTAATCGAGTATTTATAGCCTTGGGAAGCATGCAACTCTCTAGGTTTAAGGTAAACCTAGGGCCGATCGGGCTTCTAGACTGAAATGGGCCTTGATGGCCGGTTGTCCCATTTGGCATGGGTGGACACGTGGCGTGTCTTAAGTGGTCCGCTTGTCAAACGGCGCTTGGTGGATAAAAATCCCCTAATCAGGTATGGTGGTGGTTGGGGAAAGGGAATGGTAAATGTAGGGGGGTGGGGAATGGGGGTGGACCAATTTTGGGTAAACCCAAAATAAAAAAGGGGAAATGAAATGAAAGAATGTCGCTAACAAACGACAACAAAGGGATTCATTCTCTTTCCCTTTGTTTAAACCCCCCAACCAAACACCCCCTAATAGTGTTCAATAAGCTAAAAACTTTTCAGAAAGCTCTTTATCAAACAAAGCCAATATCTACCTTCAGATCGCGGGTTCGAAACCTTTCCCAACCATTTTAATTTTTTGTGCTTCTCCCTTTTCTTCTCCCTCTCCCTCTCTCATCTCTCTCCTCCCATTCCCCATTTCCTCTCACCTCGACTCACTTCTACTCAACCGCCTCATTTACTCACCGCCTCTGCCGCCGCAACGCCGCCGGAAGAAAAGATGTCGGAGAAGTTCTCGGCAACCTTGAGGATTGGCGATTTGAACGATTTCATTGCTCCTTCTCAAGCTTGTATTGTCGGCCAACTTAAACCTAATCCCACCAAACCTATTATTAATGATTTCGAGGTTTGTTTTCTTTTTTTTTTCTTTGATTTTATGAAACCCTAGGGACTTTGGGTATTGTTATTTTGTATTATTTCTGTTGAATTTTGATAATTTTGGTGATTTGATGCATAATATTTGGAGAAATTAATTTATTGAAGTTTTAATCTTGTTGATGATTAGTGATAAGTTGAGTTTTTGATTTGCGGGGGCAGTTATGTTGGTTAATGAAGTATGGAATTCGGAAATCAAATTATTAAAGTAGTTCAATTATGATCTTCTGCTGAGGATTTTAGTTTTGGAGTTGTGATTTCGTGGGCTCGTTGTTGCTCCTCGAGTGTTGAATTTTGATTTTGGGGTGTAGAAAGGGGCAATTGCAATACTGAAGAATTTTGATGTAGTATCGTTCTCATTTCGCGTTTTTGGCAATACAAGTTTGAATACTTAGGGAAGACAGTTAGAGATTATGCTGGATGATCCTTGTTGGGTTGACATGTTAGTTGAATTTGAAGGTTATTATTTTAAGGGAGGGGAAGGGTGCTGTTCTTTTACTGCAAACACTTAAAATTATGTTTTGGAAATAAAAGATAGATGTAATTGTTTTGTGGGTTACTCTATTAGTGCAAACAGCTGATGGAATTGTTGGGTTATGAGTGTAGAAGCGGGACATTAACTTGAATTTAGTTCTTCTGGTGAGAAATTTTATTTTGGAGCTGTGAAGTCGTGAGCTTGCTGTCCGTGAGTTGAATTTTGAGAACTGGGGTTTATGATGGTGTTTTTTTTTTTTTTTTTTTTTTTTTTTTTTTTTGTGCTGATGGTGTCTTGTTAGATGCTTCCGGAGGAAATTATATATAATGTAATTTTGTGGGTTTCTGAACAGTTGAAACTTTGGAATGTTATAGGACAAAGATGTAGTTTTTGTATTTATGGAAGGTGATTAATAAATTGGATGTAGTTTTGTTATTTTACTATCGGTTTCTTTATTCTCACGAGCCTCTACTTCTAAATACTTGTTTAAAGATTTAAACTTTTTACCTTTTTTGGGAGTTCAACTAATAAGATGCTGCTTTGAATGATCTATTGAGGTTAGAAAAGAGCAAAGGCGGGGCCTCCTGCTGCTACAGAACCTGTTAAAATTTCACTCAAGGACTGCCTGGCTTGCAGGTAACCCTCTTGATAAATTTGTTGTAGGATTGTAAGGAAATTATTAATTATGTTCGTTTAAAATGCCCAATGTTCAGCTTGTCGGGTATGGTGATTTTTTGTTGGGGTTGCAAAGATAGTATGAATTATGTAAGTGGAGGGTGTCTAATGTTAGGCTTGTCCTGTTTGTATTTTTTTTTGGGTACCCATAATGTCTTTCTGGATGGAACGAGAATCCTTCAACTTTTATTAATTTATTTCTGATTGCCTGAAAATAAATATATATCTTGAACTGTCTTGTTGTAGAAGTCTTGATAATTTGCTAAATATGTTGACTCTTGACAGGTTTGAACATTACCTTCTATTCTTGATACCTAGCATGGCATGCGTGCTGAAATTAGTCAGCAATTTTGTTAAAGCATGGTTTTACAAGAATGAGGAAAAGTGGTAGCAGAAAGCATAGTGATAAAGAAAATAATGAGAGGATAGAAGATGTCTGGATCAATTAATTTAGTCTTCATATTGTTATCGTAAGGAATTCTTTTGGTATAAGTGGGGAAAAGGATAAGATTTTGAGAATCAGAGCTTTAGAGAGTTAATTTGGAGGAGGGGTAGACAAGAGAATGGGACATATTTCCCAATCCCTTTCTGTTGCTAAAATATTTACATTGATTTTGGTCTATTTTGTGTGAACTTGTCTTAAGTAGCTTCCTGATGGTTCAGTCATCTGATTGCTTTAGGTGATACAATCTCTGTATATGGTTCTTGCAAGTTGCAACAGGTGTCTTGTCCTTTTTTTTTAGGATTGTTTATTATTGTCATTTCAGATCATCTATCACTTCTATGTCGTGGGAAAATGAAGATATTCGTTAATATCTGACAGGGAATGTTTCTTTCGCTAATCAGTCATTAAAGCAATGAAATGTTATTCCTGGAATGCCTTACATGCTGAACTTCATTTTTGCTTTCTGTATATAGCTTTTCTGTTTCCATTAATCACCAAATCACACGATCATGGCTATGTTAACTAGGTGTAGTGACTTTTATTTTGGGCTTTTTATTTTTTATTTTATTTATTTACTCCAATTCATTTATTTTCTGTTTCTGTGGTCATATTCAGTGGATGTATAACATCAGCAGAGACTGTGATGCTTGAGAAACAAAGTTTAGATGAGTTCCTGTCAAGTATCAATAAAGGGAAGACAGTCATAGTATCCATTTCGCCGCAGTCTAGGGCTTCTTTAGCAGCTCATTTTGGCCTCGCACCACTTCAGGTGTGGGATCTCACTTGATTTTCTTTCTCTTATGGCAATATTCTTATTAGAGATGCATGGTAAGCAGAACATGCTGTTTTTAAGGGCTTGGACAAAGTTGATTGTTGTGCGTTTTGGCGTCATGGCCATGGATGATTACTGTTTAGCACCTTTGTCCAAATTTAATCTTCTATGAGTTGTTTTCCTAAGGTTTTGATGATAGATTTATATTTCGTACTTAATTTTGCTTTATGAATAGAACTTATTATTAAAACTTCCAAAATTCCAAGGTAACAAAACTATAATGAAATTGATAGTTTTACTGATGAAAGCTCTTGTTGAAATTATTTAGAAGTATGCTTTCACCAAATGCTCAACTGTTGAGGACTGCTCATATATTTGGGAGGACCATAAATGTATCTCAAGTCTACTTCATCATTATTTCTCAAATAATGATCCTTGCCCTTCGTATTTTGAAAGAAAGGAGTGTTTGGTAATCTATATCATATTTTTGTAGAAGGGCTTTCTGGGGTTCTGTTATTGAAGTTACAATTGTTGCTTTGATTAAGTAGAAGAGTTTAAGCTTCAAGACATCTTGTATTCCTATCACAGAATGCTGTGAAGCAAATAATGATGTATTTTTAATTTTAGTCAGTAGACACAATACCTGGCTTGATTAATTATATTGCTTGTTACAAATACTCCCTACGTTCTCGAAAGTTCGACTTTCTCACTACACTCTTGTTTCTACTAATGCTTGGAAAAAGCGAGTGGGTTTAAGAAAATAGTGAACGAAATAAAAGTGATGTAGTAAAAGGTGGGTAGGTATTAAGAAAAAAGTGAATAAAGTAAGAGAAAGGGTAAAAAGGTGTAAATATTGTGGGGTAAGAGTGGTAAGATTGTAAGAGAGGTTTTCCAAAGAGGATTAAAAGTAGAAGTGTGCCGAACGTCTCAAAATAGAAAGTAAGTCGAACTTTTGGGAGTAGAGGGAGTATATAAAATTACCTTCTTTTGAGCAAGGTAATAAACTAATTATGATATAGTAAAACTGTGAGGTACGTAATATGTAAATTGTTTTAATATTTTAAAACAATTTAAAGTCATGATTGTTGGAATCTAAGTGGAAAAGCCATCCATCAAGTGAACACGTTTGAATTTAGACGTGAAGGAGGTTTGTGACCCACGAAACTTATTTCCAATCATGCTACAAAAATGCGACTCCTTTTTTGTTTTCTCCTGGCCTCGATAAAAATTCGTATTGGACTTAAATGTGAGGGTGAATCACTTATTAGGCTAAAAGCTGGCAACATTTGTGGTAAAATAAGGAGCATTTTGTGTTCAATGGCTCAGCTGCTCCAACTTTCAGTTTTGGATTAAGCTCCCTAGTATGGTTCTAGTCGTAGGTAAATTTACAACAAAAGAGAATGGAGATATTTTTTAGGGTTAGAGATAGAGTTGGTATATTGGATAGGGCTAGAGTCGGCACATGTGCAACAAACCAGCCTATGCCTCCTATGTTTCTCGACTGTTCTAGAAGGAATTCCATGTATAACGTTAGGAATGTTTAGCTATATTAGTTACAACACTTGCAAGGAAAGTAGAGAAGGGTAGAAAAGGAAATCCTCCCAAAAGTTAGTTAGCTAGAATAGTGGAGAACAAGGTAGGCGTGCTTGCTGATTTAATATATATATATATATATATGTGTGTGTGTGTGTGTGTGTGTGTGAGAAAGCCATGTACGAGAGTTATACAGTAAGTAGTGAGGGAAACAATCAGTAGGAGAAATCGCACATTCCCACCCCTTGAGTGTGGGTAGGTTGTAATTGCATTGGTCACCCTGATCTGTATAATCATTTGACCTTAGCTTTTCTTTAAATGCTTCTTGCTTTACTTTTTTTAAATTCTCTCCAAATATTCAATACTGTTAATTTGCTAGATTTCCTGCAAAACTTGATTCTTAACAACTTGATTCAGACACAGACTTCATGTAGGCAAGACTCTTGATGACTTGTTAGTGCTTCTTTTGTAATCGTGGCACTTTATTGAGAAGTGTGATGTAGACTGGATGACTGGTGTTTTGACTTTGCATTGAAGTTATGCTTCTATGTTGCCTATACCTTTTTATGTTTTACCCTTTTGACTATGCAGTGCTTGGAAAGAGAAGTAATTTAAAATTTGCAGTTCAGTTTTTTTTGTAGTTTCTCCTTTGGCCGCTTCTAGAATATCATGGATGATTGAATGCTGAGGTGTGGGTTAATTTTGCATTTAGTTTGACATTTTCACCTTTCGCTGAAGTCATATTTCTTCTTCCCTTCAGGCTTTTAAGAAGCTCACAACGTTTTTTAAGTCCCTTGGAGTGAAGGCTGTTTTTGACACCAGCTGCAGTAGAGATTTAGCGCTTATAGAAGCATGTAATGAATTTGTGGTACGCTATAAGCAAAGGCAGTCTGGTGATGATGATGGGAGTAAGACATCACTGCCAATAATTTCATCCGCTTGTCCAGGTATATATAGTTTGCTCACCAATACGCCCCGGCCCTGGTGCAGAAATAAGATTGAAGAAAAGAAAATTTGTAGAAATGAATAGAAAGAAAGAGAAAAATAAAATGGAATGAAAAGAAAGAAAGAGAAAGGACTAGCTTTACTTTTGAAGGCTTTCTTCATTTGAATTTACCTTTTTTTCCTGTGAAACTCCCAGGGTGGATCTGCTATGCAGAAAAAACTCTTGGATCCTACATCTTACCTTACATCTCTTCCGTAAAGAGCCCTCAGCAAACAATTGGGGCTGTCTTGAAGCGCTACCTTTGCCAGAAAATGTCTTTGAGGTAATTTAAACTTTAGGCCCATGTCTCCATAAGAAACCAATATTCTTTTGGTTCTATGGCATAGTTAAACATAACGTTAAAAAAAAAACTTTTAATTTTCTTGTCATTTCTCTCTCAGTGGATTAATGGGTTATAAACAGGCCAGATGAAGTTTATCATGTTACTGTGATGCCTTGTTATGACAAGAAGCTTGAGGCTGCGAGAGAAGACTTTGTATTTGAAATGGAATATCCAGATGAAGATAATATACATGGTGATCTAGGGGTAGCAGAGGTGGATTCTGTGTTGACCTCTGGAGAGGTTTTGGAACTAATACAGGTACAAAAAAATGTTTCAGCTGCTAGTTTCATTTCATATTTTTGATTGTAATGACTCCTATGTTACTGATTTTATTTATTTATTTATTTTATTTTTTTGGTGACAGTTAAAATCTGTGGATTTTAGCTCCTTGGACGAATCTCCTCTAGATAAGATGTAAGAATCAACTAACTTTTGTGGCTGATGCTTCAATTTGGTATTCTACTGTAGTTGATACTGATGGTGTACGATCTTTAATTACCACCTTCAGGTTGACAAATATTACTGATGATGGATATCTGTATGGAGTCAATGGAGGTTCTGGGGGCTATGCTGAAACTATTTTTAGGCATGCAGCAAAGGCCCTTTTTGACAGGGACATTGAGGGACCTATAGAGTTCAGAATGATAAGGAATTCAGACTTCCGTGAAGTTATTCTTGAAGTAAGATCTCTCTTTCTAATCTCAAGAATCTTTATGCAAACTTAACCAACTGCATGGAATTTTGTTTGGCAGTTGAAGAGGTTTCTGCAGAATCTTGGATAGCTTGCAGTTATCTCTTTATGCAATAGTTGATATGTGCTTTATTGGTTGAGAATTTTATTGTTATGGAAAGTGTTTATAAAAACCCTTTTTTTTTGGCTCTTTAAGAGGATTCTTTTTTCTTTACATAGGAGTTGAACAATTCTTTGCTCCAGGGTGGAATTTAATTACACTACTGAGATAATGAAGCCTCAAGTTCCTTCTGATTTTCCAATACTATACTCCCTCGACCATCTTCTCGCCCATCTCCCAATCCTCTTTTATCTGTTGCCAGTCAAGTTTGAGTCATTTCCTCCTCTTGTTCTGTTTTTCTTTTGCTTCCTCTCTCTTCAATGGAGATGCCATCATGTTCATTATCGCTTAAGATACAAGACTTTGGTCCATTGATCAATTTTGTGTATCTTCTGGTTTTGGACCTAAACTGAGCTAAAATTTAAAAGTCCCAGCTAAGTCAGGATGAGTACCATACGAGAATCTATTTGACAATCTTCCTTTTGTCTAGTCCAGCCTGGTCCTTTTACATTCTGACTTGTGGATTTTTCACAATATCTCATTGCTGCTACAAGTATTACCTTGCTGTTCTTCATGTATGCATCGATTCGCTATATGTGCTGAACCCTGCCATTGAGTGGGGATTCTTGAGTTCTGATTTCTCATCTGGAAAATTTTCCTTCCATGTAAAAGATTGACGCTAATGTTTATGTGTTGCAGGTTGAGGGAAAAAATGTCTTAAAGTTTGCCTTATGTTATGGCTTTCGAAATCTGCAGAATGTAGTAAGGAAAATCAAAACTGGAAAATGTGATTATGATTATCTGGAAATCATGGCATGTCCGTCAGGTTAGAATTGTGTTCGCTCATCTATTTCATCTGGTTTGGAATTAGATCAACTGGGACTGAAATTGGATAATCTTTTGGGTTGCAGGTTGCTTGAATGGTGGTGGTCAAATCAAGCCGAAGCCAGGGCAGTCTGCCAAAGATTTAATTCAGCAATTGGAAAGTGTTTACATGGAGAATGTAAGGATTTCATTGCTATTTTGAACTGTTCTTGAATGCTTTAGATGTATCTCGTACAATATGATGTATTTGCAGTGTGACAAGGAACAAATTACAGTGCATGCATACACATTGACCTTCAGTTTCATATGCTGCCATATGTAACTATAGTTTCAGTGTCCTTAATTTGTTGGTTGCTTCACCCTTCCCCCCTCCTTTTTGTTGCTGACATGGAAATTTCTTTGGAAGGAAGTCTTATTTCTTAATGCGAATACCCACATATCGTTCTCCTGGTTTATCTGTTTATGATTGCATAGTATCTTAGAACCTAACATGGAAAAAATATCTGTTATGTGTTCAAGTTTGACCTTGCTTGCTAGAATTGGTCAGTAAATGGTACTTTTTCACACTTTTTTAACTTTAGTGCTTATTAATAATCTGTCTTTGCTTGAGTAATTTGCAAAGATGACATTGAAGTTGGAAGATAGCATTTTTGGTTGATAAGTATTGTCGTTTAGGTACATCTCTGATTGCTGATCCTTGTTGTGGCAGGTTTTGGTTGCTGATCCATTTCAAAATCCCGTAGCAAAAGGGTTATATGATGAGTGGCTTGAGAAACCTGGGTCTGAGAAAGCTAAGAAATACCTGCACACACTATACCATCCTGTGGTTAAAAGCATTACGTCTCAGTTGCACAATTGGTGAACTTGTTGCCCTGGATTTTGTTCTTCCCAATTGCTGAACTCCGGAGGTCTACAATTGTGCATATGCTTAGCCTAGAGTGAGTTTTTTCAGACCTATGGTTGGAATCATATCTACACTTCATTGATATAGGCTTTACGGAGAAGACCAGTTTTACCAGAGGTTCTCCAGGTGTACATTACTGTAGATGTAGTGAGTTCTTTTGTTAATGACAGGATGCAACTCTATAGGAAGATAAGTCCATTTGATCTGAACACTTTTTGTTCTTTTTCCAGAAAAATTATATAATTATACACATGCATGACAAGGTTTTTGTTCTGTAGTTTTGTACCATTAACCCATATTGTAAGATGTGCTCTGTATGTTATTTTCTCAACACTCTTGTTCTGAAATGATATGTGTCCCATTTTTCCTTTCTGTATAATGCGTTGCCGTGAGGCTTGAACTGAAATAAAAGAGCTGGGTCATTGTTTTATTTGATTCGAAGGAAATCTAAAGGCGAGTACAAAAATTACAGACTGCTAGGCAACATAACAAAATTTTCCTGCTGCAGCAGTGTGCCAGTGTTATCTCCTCATTTGAAATGATACTGCAAAAGGGAATTTCGCTAGTGTGTGCTCTGCTGCCTGGTTTATTGTGACACAATAAGCTGCAGTTGTAAGCTCAGACTGAACTATGGCCTGCAATTTTTAGAACCTGCCTTTTATCCATCAGTGTCCTTATGTTCTGAGCTTCATTGAACTTTCCCTGACCTGTCAATATGTTCGACATCAAAACGTAGTCTCCTCCATATTCTCTCTCCATATCCTGCAGCTTCTTTGATACACGCTCAGCTATCTCAACATCACCATGGAAGTTGCAAGCACCTAAAAGAGTGCGCCAAATCACAACATCATCAATGTCATTAGGAATCTGCCAGGCAATTTCTTCTGCTTCTTTTAGCTTGCCTGCTCGTCCCAACATATCAATCACACACCCATAATGCTTTACGTCTGCTGCAACAAAGCCATTATCAACCATTTTTCTAAAGAACCGGATCCCCTCCTCTACCAATCCACTGACTGTAAGCATTGAGAACACTCAAGAAACTAATTCGGTTTGGTCTAATCCCTGAACCCTCCATTCTTTCTAGGAACTGTTCAGCTTCTATTGCCATGCCATGCATAGCAAACCCAGATATTATCGATGTCCAAGACACGACATTTCTTCTACACGCAAACATCTCCTCGAATACCCTCAATGCACTTTCAATACACCCACATTTGGCGTAAGTATCAAGAAGACAGTTTGTGACCTGATTATAATTTGCTCTGAAGCCACTTTTTTCGCTGAAGGAGTGAAATAATCGGCAATTTTTTAGATCCCCAAGTTCAGCAATAGCAGTAGAAACGGCTAACAATGTTACTTCAGTAGGCATAATGCCTCCAACCATAATCATTTCCCGAAACAACGAAAAAGCTCCAAGATGATTCTTCATTCGCGTAAACCCATCAATCATACCAGTCCAAGAAACAACATTCTTTCTAGGCATTTGCCTAAACAAAGCAAGAGCAGCCTCAAGGTGACCCCATTTAACCAACCCAGTAATCATCACATTCCAAGTAACCAAATTTCTGTCAGGCATTTCATCAAACACCTTCTCTGCATCATTCAACAAACCAAAATCTAGGTACATGTTCAGCAATGCAGTCTGCGCATAAACATCCGACTCGAACCCCAATTGCACAACAAGAGCATGGAGTTGAAAACCCGTAATTCGTTGATTCAAATTGCCACATGCTTTGATGAGAAACGAGTACGTAAAACTATCAAAGTATTGATACAATGCAGTTGATTGTTGTGCTTGTTTGTACAGAAACAGAGCTTCATGTGGAAATTCACCAACGGCGTAGCGTCTTAAAAGGGTGTTGAACAGAATTATGGTCTGGGTATTTGGGGATTGACTCAACGAGCCATTGGTTGTTAATTGAGAGTGGATTTGCTGGGTAACAAATTGCGACGAAGGGAAGTTTTTCAGAGGAGAAAGATAATGAATATGGTAATTTTTACGACCTTTAATTGAATGATTATAGGATGAGAAAGAGGCAAAAGAGTTGGGGAGTAATGAAATCTGGGTATAACAGATGAACCGATTTCTTTGCAACCACTGCATGAATTTTAGAATACAGGTGGATGTTTAGGGTTCTAAAGAAATATGAAGAAGATCAAATGATTCATATGGGCGGGAAATCACATTTTTTGTTTTATAAACCCTCTCCCTCTTTCTCGAAAGTCGTAGTTAATCTCCGAGATTGGTAATAAGTAGTTGTTAATCCCCGAGATTGGTGAGTTGTGTCAATCTAATCTTACATACGAAGTACTATAATATTTTTCCTTGTAGATACGAGTTTAAAATTATTCTCTTCTGTATTGGTTTCCTTATAAGAATGTGATTAAATTAGTTAAACGGAACAATATGTTTTCAGAGTAAGTCAGCAATGGTATCTTCTCCCATTAACCCGAATAGGGCTTTCTTTCTCTCGGCTATCAGCCTATTACTGGTGGTCCTGATGGTGTTTAGGGAACTAAATCACTAATACACACTTCTTTGCTGCTACTCCAGGTTGTTCGATTGTCCAACACTTGGTGAGCACACTCGTAAGTTGATAACAGGAGTTTACTAATTATTAGGAGTACTCTACTACACAATGAGGTATTATATATAATACTTTCAGTGCATTTTATGATCCTGTATTAATACAATGAGGTTTGGTTTTAGGTATAGCTTTCAAATCTTACTTTTGTGGATTTTGTTATTTGCTCTTCATGTTTCATCAATGTTTTCTTTGATTTGATTTGATACTATACTTAGTTACTTACAGAGAAAACAGAATTTGGCAAGCGACAATGCTGGTGCTTTCCATTAAGATTTTAATTGTAGACATCTCATAATATAATTTTTTTTTTTTGTATGGAATTTGGACATTCCATCATGATGGTCCAATATTGCTTACAACCTCATGAGGTCTAATCTATCCATCTATATGTACTGCTATAATTGGCTAATTAATCGTCATGACTGTAAGAAATGACACCATTCAAATTCTATGCTTCTTTGTCCCTCCTTTCGGAATTTACAATGTAACATTGGCCCCTAAAGAAATGGAGATTTCTACAGGACGAGGTCTTATCTCTTGAGTTACAGGACTAAATATCTTTTTAAGGCAAAGATAGCTACTAGCTGGATAAGATATGAGGTATGCGTCACTCTAGGGCTTTATGTTCAGACGCTAAGGACAAGAGATACAGTACAAGAATGGTCGTAACTCTAGGACACGGTTGATTTGGCTGCCGGATTTGATGTCATTATAGGACGTAATCAGACCCTACAGATAAATTTAGGTTTTTTGTTTTTACCATGTTGACTAAACCAGGCAATTCAACACTTAAATTTGAAGACCAGTGATTAATTGGACAACTGATGTATCATGTTGGATACTTTAGCCCCCTTCAAATGTGTAATGGACCATGCATTAAACTGATCAAAGTCTCTTAGACTGTAAATGTACCTTTCTACATTTGATAATTTTGAAACAATTTTTTTCTGTATAAGTTTTTTGAACGCAGTTCTGCACCAATTTCGATATGCCAAGATTCGTGAATTATGAGTAGCTTATAAACTTTAGTTTAATTAGGTGAACTTATTACTGGATTACAGATATCCATCAGTCTGAAAAATTTCCGTCTTCAGCCCTGCCCTACATGGGGAAACCTAAAGATGTAGTGTTTTGAAAGTATCAGATGCAATGAACTTTTAAATTCCAAAAATTCGATTCAGCTTAGCACAATGCCAACTAGCCAAGTTGCACAATCCAATAGTTGGTGTAAAAGATATGGCCCGAGTACTCACATGGTGTACAAAGCAAATCCTACCTCATATCTGTGTAAGATTTTCGACATTCAACATGTATCATATGGATAATTGACAATTCATTTTGAACAAAAAGTGCTGAAACTTTTCAAAACATATCAGAATATCAAATTTGACACTTGTACACAGACATAGATGTATTTAGCTCTCAGTAATCAGTTAGATTACTTAGATGTCTGAAGGTTGAAATCCTGTGGTTACTAAATTCCGTCTTTCCTCTGCTTTGTATCTCAACCGTTGAACTGCTAAACGTTTGGTGGATTCATAGAAATTAAAATATGATTATGTGGAAACACGATGCAGTTTATGTTAGTGGATGTTGTGATTAGGCCTTAAATATTAGACTTCTAAACATTTGAGTATCAGTTAGATGTATGTCTGAATTGAATGCTGAATTGCTGCAGCTATTGGATTCTCTCTGTCTGTCTCTCCTCTGCGTCAAGAATGTTATTAGGCTATGCACAATATACATAAATAGTCTCCTTTGTATGTCGACTGATGAACTACTAAACATTTGGCAGATTCTTATAATCTAAAGCATGTTTTATGTGGAAACACGACGCAGTTTATGTTGGTGGATGTTGCAATTAAGCCTTAAAAATTAGGCTACTAAACATTTGAGTATCAAATTTCAAATCTCAAACAAATGGACTACTGGATTTCTAACTGATACAATGATTAAAGTTAAGTTTATGTGGTAATACGATGCAGTTTGTGTTAGTGGAAGTTGCATTCGCGCTTCAGATATTGTTATACTAATCAAAGTGCGGTTTACATAGGCAGAAGAAGCAGATTGATGAACAGCAAGAGGCTTCTTTAATGTACAAAAAATTAAGTAGGCTCCAGAGACTGTTAGTTATTATAATCTAGTTTGAGGTACTTTCGAGTTATATGAGTTTAGACGTTACCATTATCTATTTGCGCAAATGCATAGAATAAGTTTATGGATGATATGATTAATTGTTCGATTTTATTATTAGCTATGCTGAATCACCTGAAGCATTCTTCACCACATAATGTGAGATTTCTGCCTAGTCGTTATCTTGTGCTAATATTAAGAAGCAGGATTTTCGCTTGTGGATTCCACTTCTTGTTCCAACCGATATTATAACCGTTGCGTGCCTAATTCTTCATGATGATGTGCAGGAAGGAAGCTCTAAAGTGGGTTCACTATAGCACCAACAGAAGGGGAGAGATAGAGAGAGGAAACTGTCGTCGTTTGCTATGGACCAGCAGAGCAGGATGACACCAGCTATGTTAGTCACTTTAATACCCTAATAATTAGCTTTTCATCTTAATAATTGCTTTATTTATGCAAGATTTAAACAACCCTTGCTGATGTAATCCCATTATGGATAATGGAGGAATAATTTAGAATAATTTGTAAAAGGGTAGTTTGGGAATTAACAAGGGTAGGAATTTGTTGAGATTCTAGTTTTACAGAAAGTAGTGCCTACGCAACACCTCTATCTTGTTCCCGGGTACACCTATCTAAAGGTTATTTTTTTGTTCACATTATTCCGTGCATCACTATGGGTTGATTAGTTAATCATGGCTGATAATTAACTGCCCTAAATCCAACATCAAGGGTATTTTAGTCATTTCTCGCGAATAATTGAACTAATTGTGTAATGGTGCCTAAACATGAGGTCATTCATGATCCTCCAACTCCTTTGTAACAATAATCTTTAGTTGTTAAAAAGCTTTATTTCACTAATTTGTTTAGCTAATACAGTACAAATTGTCTTTGTTACGTTCAAGTAATTGGGTTGTCATACATGTTCTCACTAAGTAAGTGGAAATAAACAGAGAATTACTTGCTAGATTCAACTATTACCTTTGAAATAAATCAACTGAACATGTGAATAACATCGAAAAGATGCCGTGTAATTAACTTCTTAACAAGCCTTCTTATATGCTAATCAAAAATAAGACTTGTCAATTTTGTTAGGAGCATTAACAAAATGGCAAACAAATTTACCAATCAACAAGATTGCCTGTTTTTTGAAGGCTTTCTTCTTGTCCATAAAATCAAAAATAAACTAACCAGTAGTTTGCCTTTTGCCCTGCCATTACAAAAGCTTCCTGTTCTGCCATTGGCCAGATTTTCGCTGACGCGTATAGCTAGTTATCCAATCTGTAGAAGAAGTTTATTGTTATGAAATGTCTAATGTCCACTTTTTATAATGGAGGAGAGTTTTGTGAACTTTGGCATATTTTATGTTACTTGTTTAGTTGTTTATTAAGATCATGCATAGAATGGAAATAATAATGATGATGTGCTAATAATTTATGGTTGTTTCCAACATTCACAACCTTTAGCTGTTTCTACAGAACCACTGACGTACTTAATAGAAGGTTCTTACAAGTCTATTACATGTGCTTAAAGTCTGATTGAAAGTGCTTATTCTAATACTTCGTGCTCGTATATGTTTTACAATCTTTCTAGTGATTGGAATATTACAGACTGAATTATGTTATGTTACTGAGACATTTAGAGAGAACCGGTTTTTTATGGTGTAGGGCTAGCTTATTATGTCAAGACTAATTGTAGAAACATAGTAAACCGCCTCTCTGCTGGTTGATGATCGGACTTAATTGGAACTGATCCAACCTGAATGTTATGTTAATATTGATAATTTTTCATAATAAGCTATAAGAAAATAGACTCGAAGATGACCTGACCTGAGCAAACTGAACCAATTGCCAACTTCAAACCCAAACTAATTAAAACATCCTCCAATATGGTTCAAACTGAATCCAATCTAATTGGCTTGTTTCTCCCACCACTATTTACACTACTCAAAAGTAAGGTTGCATGTATTTGAATCTCTCTAGATGCGGCCTTAATGTGTTTAGTGGGGATTCGTATGAGGTAGTAGTTGTTGTCAAGTAAAAGCTCAAACTGATAGATGATTAATATTTAAGATGAAGCTCCACTTTAAGGTTTATTGGTTTTATCCTTGTCATACTCGTGTCTTTGCCTCTTCCGTGCTTTTTTTTTCATAAAGAAAGAATCATTAATCAATGTGTTTATGGTAAAAGCATTAATGTACTACCTCCGTTAAATATTAGTTGTAACTTTGAAATATTTTATCTTACAAATAATACCCCAAAGTTACAACTAATATTTAACTGAGGTAGTATATCATGATTTTTGTATAAGCAATACTGAATTTTGACATGATTGACATCCTTATTCCTACTAAGTATGGAAAAACTATGATCATCATTGAGAGATCGACTCCAAACTCCTTGGTCAAGAATGTAATAATTATTATAGATTTATATTGGGCTTAGAATTGGTTTCGAGGTGTCTTGAGCAATAAGTCTTGCATGCACCTTATAGCTGCACAACGCCCTGTAATATGAACATTCAGTAATAAAAAATGAACACATAAAAACAAAATGAACATTTAAAATTAAAAAGTGAACATGTT